GCGCAACCCCGAACCGTCCCGGGCGTTGCTTGGTGAGGAGCGCGGCGGTGATCAATGCCGGACCGTTGGCTTGGCGGCGGAACCGCAACCTGCATGGGCGGCCGGAAAAGGGCGGCCAACCGGCGGTTGCGCTGCCTTTTCCTCCCCTCCCTTTTCTCATCTCCGGCCACGCACTTGGCTTGTACTTGTGGGATTGTGTCTTGCGCTCCCAACGATCTTCTTTCCTTGCTTGCAACTTGGTCCGGGCCTCCGGGGCAGGTAGCCGCTGCTCTAGCTCAGCTAGGTCTTGTTCCATTCCAGCGCGCTCATTGATGGCATTGCTCGGCGCAACGCATCGACCGATCTGCTAGCCACTATCCATGGGAGGCGAGGCAGGGCCGGGCCAGCTTATGCACTGTCATATATCCGTATCTGGACAAATCTAAGACAATAATTTTGGGATGGAGGGAGTACGTAGTCCATATATTGGCATGCAATGATTCAAGTTTGAAGGGCATTGGTTGCGTCTGTCTGTCTGTCCGTGTGTTTGTCTGTCGACCGGTACGTTCATGCCGATCTGTAGGTAGCTGGTGACCGATCTGGAGTGTACGTAGCTTGTCGATCGGCCATCCAGTTGCTAGCAAATTATTGGGTGTTGGAGCTAATCCCAGAGACCATATTAACGCCGGTTGACTAGCTCATGCATCTCATCTGTAGGCCTTTGTAGCCAGCTAGGCAATGACGGACGGAGGATCGAGCAAGAGGGAGGGCCAATAATAGCCAGCGACCTCATCACGAGCACGACATGCGTAACTTCCATGTGAAGTCAAGCCCGCGTGCTTGGCTTGTTTCGTGTGGTGCGGTGTGGTGTACTGTGTGCGTGTCCCGTACGTCGCGCTCGTTTGACTTGGGCGTCGGATCATGATAAATGCATGAGACGCGACGAATGCCACCATGCATGAAAAAGACACGCTCGTTGATGCATTGATGCATGGGACCAAGCCAAGGAGAGGGCGCCCCCTGCCCCCATGGGCGTATGCACCCACTTTTTTTAAAAAAAATTCAATTTTAAGCACGTTCTAAAATGTCAAAAAATTGAAAGAAAATATCGCACATACATGTCCGCAAATGTGAGTACGTGGCACAAAGTTTTGTGAAAAACTATCTTTTTGTCATGTCACCGTAAAAAGAACAAATTTCTGTGCTTCTAAATAGTGTTCCACGACACAATTTTATGTCCTTTTTGCACTATTTTTCGGTGAAACTTTATACACGCGCATAGAACCCGAAGACATACCTGTGCAATTTTTTTTCAGATTTTTTTAACATTTAGAAATGTGTTTTCCAAAATGGATTCATATGTACTCCCTCCATTTTTATTTAGTCCCCGTATTAGCTTTGGTAAAAATCAAACTTTATAAACTTTGACCAAGTTCATAAAAATTATATTAACATAAGCAATAACAAATTAATAAAATTAGATTTATTATTGAATGTACTTTCACATCATATGGATTTGTTATGATAAATGTTTATACTGTTTTTTGTAAAGTTGCTCAAACTTTATGAAATTTGACTTCAATCAATTTTAATATGCAGAGTAAATAAAAACGGAGGGAGTATCCAGGTTCATCCTTGCACTTCCCTGAAGCCTAAGCCAACAAACCAAGGGATAGTACCGGTCCCAGGGATGGGAGGAGGCGAGCAGAGGTGGTTGCAAGCACCGAAGCCGCGTGAGATTGTACTCGCACTCTGCGGTGCATTGACGCATGGAACCAAGCCAGGCCAAGCCAACAAACCAAGGGAGAGTACCTACCATACCCGGGAAGAGACGGGCAGAGGTTGCAAGCACCGAAACCGCGTCAAGTTTTACTCCTCCTGCCTGCGTACTTTTAACCGTGTGTGCAGTGCAGCAAAGGCAGGCAGATGGATGGACGCCGGCACGGGATTGGGCCGTGCGACGTACTCCAATAATTTCATATTATATTTATTAGATATCATAGATGCTAATAATTTTTAATATAAATTTGATCAAACTTAGCTAAGTTTGACTTTCGGCAAACCCAATATGCAGAGTAAAAAGGACCGAAGGGAGTAGTGCAGGCATTGATGCCGATATTCTTTTCCACGGCACACTCATGGCTCATGGCAGGTTGACGGGCCCGGGCGGTGAGGCGGAGGCGCGGGATTGGGCGGTGCGGCTCCGGCATGCACCGGGGCAGATGCAGAGGCAGGCAGGCAGCCACGGACGCAGCCTCGAGAGCCGACCCGACCCGAGGTCAGCATGGCTCTGCAATGCTGCTGAAGATAATAATCTGCTTCATTGCAGGCGGAATTGAAGGCGGCAGCAACCGATGATCGGTGGGTTGCAAGAAGCGGCGGTGTCCAGCGACACGGTTTCGGTCTACTTTATGCGTATATGCAAACAGGGACAGCGAGAAAACACGAGGGACCATTTTAGGAGTATTGCGCTGCTACCAACCACTACTATTCAGGACCATTTGGCTCCGTCTCCATGAAGTGATGAGACAAGCCGTGTGTGGAACATCCCCCGCAAAAAAAAAAAAAAAAAAAAAGCCGTCTGTGGAACACGGGGGGAAAAGATCTGTATTTCTACTACCCAAACAAATAAACTGCACTAGGTAGCGGCCGTGCTGATGCGCTCC